TATAGGAAAACGCTGCCCGAGGTCTTGACAGTTCTGATTATTTCTAAGAATTTCATATTGATGACGACATCAATTAGGCGCGCGCATAGAACGATGTGCAAGATGTTTTGTCTGATGTAGAAATCCTTTTTGGGACTAGTGAAGACGTACTTATAGATGATGGACGTACATGAACACACTAGATTACCTTGTGGTAAGTTCTGCATTCTTGCAATTCTTAGTTAAACGTTATTTTTCGTCTTCCCTTTAGCTTTTTTTTTAAGTTTTATCATTCCTTTGGTTACTAGATTTTTTAAAAACATTTTGATTTTAACTGCTTCGGTGTTTTTTCAGATTGCCTGAGTGATGAACAGTTTAATCGTCTCCTGAAAGAGCCCATCTTTGTTGACTTTCTCAATACTTTCCTTTCGTTGCCGGTAAGTATTAGTTTTGGCCTTTGCAGGTGAACAGTTCCCTGCAACGGCGCCACTAAAAGACGAAATCTTACAAAACGTTTCTTTGCGCAGTCTAACAATGACATGCATTAAAGAATTCCAGTATTCAGAACTAATTATCTTTCTCGTTTTTTCCAGATATTTCCTAAACGTCTTCGTTACAACTTGGATGATGATCTCTTTGACATCCACCCACCAGTTAAAAGAACAGCGTATGTAAGTGAATAAGTGCTTTCACTCTTGGTTTCGCGGGTTTGGGCACATTTCACCCTTCTCATACTACTCTWTTTCCCTAATTTGCACTCTTAGGGCCGAGATAAACAGGGATACATTATCGCATTCTATACACGTATCTTCGATGTTTCTTAGCTTAGCCACCTGAGAATAATTTCAGCACTATTGTAGCGCACCACAGATTCTGTACGTGGGACAATATGCAAAATCAATTTGCATTGTTAATTTGATTCCCTGGGGATTATGCAAATGAGATAATAAAAGGTGTTCCAAAGTGTCCTTTATATCACTGTACTCTACTCATCTTTCAGTTTGTCTTACAAAGACAAATCAAGATATGGGTTTATAATTCACGTCTGCCATTGTTCTTTCAAACCGATCTCTTTTTGGATTACCTGCTGTGCCGATTATTGTCGAAAGAGTCCATAGGTGAGTGGCAGCATAGGCCCATGTAGGAACGATTTTTGCAGGAATCCATATAGAATAGACTAGTTGTTTGATGGAAATATTGGAAAATACAGAGGAACTCCCAAGGTTTACGGGTCTGGGCTATGCGAGTTACACGTTTCTCTGATATTGATTGCCTGCCAATAGAATGTACGAATCTCGTCTTCAAAATGGCGGGCACTCAAGCGCATTTCGAAAATAGCGACAGAAAAGGCATTCGGGACGAGTTTGGCAATGGTCCTGCCCCATTATGTGAGAGATGCAATATGGATTGACAAAAATATATCCTGAAACCACGTCGCTATGTATCAGCCAGTTTTAAAAACATCACGCTTTACAGTGTATTGCAGAAACTTGACTTTGAGCACACTTTATTTGGCACTGCATGCATCTTTTTTGTCCTTATAATAAATCCTCGGAAACAAGTAAGATCCTCCAGTTTGATAGTTTTATAAAGGCCATGATACAATTGTCCCAACCAACGTGACGTCATAATTATAGAGTACATTTGCCAATGAGACCATTATACTTCCCACAAATGCTGCTGCAATCTCTCTGGGAGGGCTCACTCCAAACTGCATTCTCCCTCTTCCTACATTCCCATGGCATTCAGTATTAAGTATTATAATAAACCCTTTTAGTGATCTCTTTTACGCTGTGTTAGCCTCAAAACCATGTAATAAAATCTTTTATTCACAACAGCCCGTGCAAATGTAATAGATTCGTGAGTATAGGAGACAATGGGAATAGCTTGAAATCTCACGAGTTTTATCTACATTTCTGAATATCGTAGCACACAATTGAGGCTAACACAGCGTAACAGAGATCGCGAAACTTCAACTATTCACTTATTGTTTATCACCTGTTTCAGTAAGCGACGTCTTGACAGAAATGTACTTCAACTCTGTGGAAGACATGCACACATTTCGCAAATTCATAAGGGGAACAATGGGGGAGCGAATCCTGAATTTCTGGTTGGACGCTGAAAGGTATCGTCGCCAGGTCAAACCAGAAAACAGACGCTATGTTTTCAGAGAAATCCAGAACAAGTACCTGCGAGGAGGGGCACCTTTTGAGCTSACCGATGTAATGAAATGGATGAGTCTATGTGGTGGTGTCAAGGGAATGGAAGCCAAGTCATTCATGTCTCCGGTCCAAGTTACGAAAAAACTATGCGGCACCAGCATTTCTGTTTTCTCGGACAATATCTTTTTACCTCTGCAAAACATGGTTCTTAAACGTCTAAGATCCTACTGGGTCGCAAAATTCGTACTCCATCGGGAGAAGATCCGYAATCGTGTAAAATCTCGGTGGGGGAAGACGATTAAGTTTGGTGAGTTCACAGACAATAGTGCGGAAGAGGCGGGAAAGCTTGCAGCGATTCAAGAATTAGCGTTGATTCATGAAGAGCAAACTGAAAAGGATGGCAATGCCTATGTCGATGAATACATGGAAATGCACAAAGCTGAGTCAGTAGAAAGTATCAATGAGCAGGAAAAGGCTGAGGAAGAAAAGAAGCAGCTGATGGAGCGTTGGAGTGAGTGGTTCTGGGGATCGAGTAGAGCGGCTAGTAAAGAAAGCATTGTGGATGATGAATACAGCTCTAGTACTGGGGAAAGTCGGGTAACAACTTTAACATATTGACATGTACTAGCCACAAATATATTATCAATGTTTTAATACTTTTTTGATAGTTATAACGAGCCTAACATTTCGGTATCACTTATGAAGGTTCTGTTTTTTTTTTCAAACGAGAGACCATTACAAATACAGTCAACCATATTTCACTTGATCAACAGTTGAGCCAATATAGCACAAGTGAACTTCGACTTCCWACACCACTTCGCCGACCCCAGAGCAAAGGAACCCCATCAAGTCTAAAATCCAGTGCTTCATCGCCGCTACCAAGACAATGCAAAACRCCGGCAAGTAAGATTGGGTCGAGTCAGAGTCGCTATATTAGGTCTGGATCCCAGTCCGATTCAATTCTCTCGACCCCTGAGGCGATGAAAGAAATAAATAAGATTCTAGCAGAAGAACAACAGGAMGAAGAGGACGAAAAGGAGGACAAAGAAGAGAAAGCTAGGAAAAAAGAACCTTCYCCAACACAGGTCCGCATGGAATTAGAAAAATACAGTTTGGGCTTYCCACGAGTCGACCCTCCCTTTGCAATTTCTCTTGGAAAAGACACAGGAAGGAAAACAGTCTTTGAAGCGGTCTATTCAGACCATGTTACAGATTCAGATATCARAGAYGAAGATTCKTTACMWTCARAAGGTATCCGCAGACCATTTCAAAGCTCTGCAATTATTCACATTCGTTGAATTGATATATATTTCTAGATTTTTTTGCCAAGACCACATTG